TTGAGTGGTAAAGGAGCCTAAATATGGACTGGACTGGCTACATGACCAAAGTCAATTGCCTTGGCTCTTAACTGTTTTTATCCCTGTGATATCATAAATGATAAGAAATTGAGTTAAAGGTCCTTAATTTTATTGTAAAATGCACATGTTTTTTTTAGTAAAAATGTAACAACACTTCTCAGAGGTCAGCACCATACAAAGTACAGGTTACGTGGGTCAATATTGTCTTGATGTGTTGCACAAGCATCAATTCCTAGGATAAATTGATTGAGCTTAAAAAAATGGCCTAGTTTTGTAAGTATGAAAGAATATTTCCTGAAAACTAGTTTCTATATAGTCAGATGGGGTAAGACAGGACTGAAATCACTAACAAGCCTTTAGCATCTATACCATGAATAACTAAAAAACCCTAAACCTATCACAAGGTGTAGTAAGAAAGGACCAACTGGTAATTCTTATGTTACAAGGTTTTTAATAAAAGTACAAATCTGATATTCAATATTATCTATCTAGAAACACATTATTTGATTAAACAACCACTTGTTACTGTTTTGTGTTGCGGGAAGTCAACTCTAATATCAGTCACATTGAAGTTTTTGTCACGAGAAAACTTTGTTAAGCATAATAATAGTGGGTTGGCTTTGGTTCATTGTAGAGCACTGCTAAATGCTTCATGTATATTCCATTTGTGTCATTGTCTGAAAATTGTATCAAATTGATAATAAAACCAATGGATAATAACTTGAGTGTCAGACGTCATGTGTTTTCTTGCTAACTGCATTTGTGGTGCACTTCTTCAAACATAGCTCACGTCCTCTCACAGAGTTGTGATCATAATTATTTTTCATGTTTCACACAAGGATTTTTCCCCCAGCCAATCTTGCACATAGTTCTGCAGCTCACTAATGGGAATTGACATCCCTATTTTCTATATCCCTTTGAGGCAATTTGAAATAGTGCACAAAATTTCTCGAATTAAAAAAGCTAACAAGTTATAATGAAGTTTGAGCAAAGAATAAAAATGTTGACCAAAATACTCCATGTACTACACAATGATATATTCATTTAAAAAACTATTTTTGATAAACTGTAGGGTAATAGAGGACCATTTGTGGGGTAAGACAGGACCATTTGTGGGGTAAGACAGGACCACTTGTGGGTAAAACAGGACCACTTGTGGGTAAAACAGGACCATTTGTAGGGTAAGATAGGACCACTTGTGGGTAAAACAGGACCATTTGTAGGGTGAGATATGACCACTTGTGGGTAAAACAGGATCATTTAGTGATCCCATCTTACCCCATGTCCAGTCCTTTTTACGCCATTTTAGAATACATGTCAGGCAGTGATGGTAGCAGGTAGAAATGCCTAGTATGTCTCAAAAGTTGCTTATTACTTGAGGTTACCTGCCTACATCCACAAACCCGACCAAAAATTTTTTTATTTGACAGAGCTTATTTCCCAAACAGGGTTAACTATTTGTGACCCTTATTTACATAGGTTTTCTTTAAAAATTAGCCAGAAATTCATTATTTGCAGAAGAGAATTGCCACAAACACTGAAATGACAGGCAATGATTGTTCTAACATATTCCTTTGTCAAATTGAATTCAGTGCATTTAGAATGCATGCCATGGGCTGGTCCTTTCTTACCCCATGAAGGCTGCAATCCTGTCTTACCCCATTTGACTATATGTGCCTTCTTTGGAAGTTGATATTGACATCCCAATTTCTAGCAGATTAATTTTTACCAATCATTTCGCATTTAAATTGTAGAATGCTATAAATTTAAATTTGTTACCAGTTGGCTATTTATACAAGTGTATCAGGCAAATTTACAAGTGTAAATTTGTTACCAGGCTATTTATACAAGTGTAGAGTGTTGATGATCACCAAATTATTCAGATATATATTGCTATAACAATGTCCTTTAAAATCAATTGCATATATAATTTGAGCAAAGATTACATAGAAGCAATATTTTTTATTACAGGGATGATTATTGGAGAAAAAACTGTTGAATTAATTTTGTAATTTTTTCTCCACAAGCTACTCCAATATTTACTTTCAGTATCCTTAACATCAAACCCTCTTGCCTACAAGCTAGTTTATTCACATGTTCAACCTTACTCTTAGTCTGATCTGAGCCATGCTTATGGCAGCAGTCCTCCAATAATTTCTCCTTTGCTAGTTATTTACTCCAGTAAATTTTCATTAGGGTTTTCAAAAACCAGCAATAAATACATTTTAACATATATATACTTTGGCAATAAATTGGGTAGATTTGGCCAAATTATCTGCAAGGACAATCTTTGGTTGCAGAAGGACACACACGTGTCTATGCTATACATATGAAATTATGCCATTTTCAAAATATTTTAAGTATTGTGCTATTAAATAAGTCACTATATTGCCTGCTGACAGAAATGATATATTGCTGTCTGAATGATAAGAAATGTATTTTGAGGTCAAGAAATTTTGCAGTGCCATTTTAAGTGTCTGTTTCTAACAGGGTTGGCGATTTTTTTGATTTTTTAAAAAAAAATCAAAAATCAATGATTTATTTGATTTTTTCATGATTTTTTTGATTTATTTTATTTTTTTTTTTTATTTTTTCAACTTTTTTGTCGTTTTGAAGTGTTTTTTTATGTTGCAATTAGCCTACTAACAATAACAGTATATGGATCATAATGGATGGCTAAAAAGGGCACTTATTGCCTTCAATAATGGCCAACAGGCCAAGGTGGTGGGATTTTTGGTGGCCTGTTAGGGATTTTTGGCCAAGGTGGTGGGCCACTTAGGGATTTTTGGGTAAACAATTATTGGTAAGTCTATTCATTAGCTTTGTAAAGTTTGTCTGGAGCAAGGTAATGACCTAAATATTTACCAATTAACTGGCTAATATATAAAAACACTTCAGGAATGCAGATCTTCTAAACATTGAAGAGTCGTATAACAGATAGGTAGCTGATAGCACAGTGCACAGCACTATCAATAGATCTACTAGTTTTTTATGTCCTATAAATCTACCAGACTCTACCCTCTATACACACCGACTAGTAATGACTGACTGCGTGGTTCCCATTTAATTCAGACCAATAAACCAATACTAAACATAAACTGAACGATAACCAAACAAACCTCATATGACTTGAAACAAGACTTAAGTTGTGAGAAAATCTAATACTGTTTGAAATAAACATGTGCACAATTCAAATATTTTATATCCATTCACTGCATTCAAATTATTTTATACATAGTCTAATAATTGTAATTGTTTTGTTTCTAGTTTTAAATTCACATATTTAAAGATTGAAATTAAATATTTTAATTTGAATACTTGTATTAGGGTGGAAAATCTTTCTAATTGCCAAAAAGGTCAATACAATCTCAACCTCTCAAGATACAGGGTGGGGGAAAACCGATTGAGAAGTTTTGAGGTAAAATGAAAGAGTAATGGAGGTACATAAAGAAGAAAGTTTATTCTCCTAGAGGTTAGCATAACATACCATTTAGAATACTTATGTTTTGAAAACAATATCAGGAAGATGGGGGCTGTTAGCTGCAACACACTGTGCGAGTCATTCTCGGAGGAGGGAGTAACCGTGATAGTGAATTCCGATCGCTATGCTGCAATGTTGCAAAATTTCTTGCAGCCTATGATGGAAAACATTGATGAAAATGAAGCATTGGGAGGCGTGTGGTTCCAGCAGGATGGGGCTACAGTTCACACAGCCTGAATGTCACTCAATGTTTTGAAATGCATGTTTCCCGGAGGGCCGGAGGTCTGGTGTCTCTTAGGGGTGATTTGCAGTGGCCTGCAAGGTCACCTGATTTGAGCATTTGCGATTTCTTTCTTTGGGGACATCTAAAAGAAAGGGTGTTCAGAAGTTGCCCTCACACCCTACCACAGCTAAGGGGACAGATTATTGCAGCAGAGGTTATGGCCATACCTTGCCATATGTGTGAACGTGCTGTAGAAAACTTCCGAGAACAACTCCAACAGTGTGATGCAGCTAACAAACCCCATTTTCCTGATATTGTTTTCAAATCATAAGTATTTTAAATGGTATGTTATGCTAATGTTGAGGAAAATAAACTTTTTTCTTTATGTACCTGCATTACTCTTTTATTTCACCCCAAAACTGTTCAATCAGTTCTGCCCCACCCTGTATAAATAAGCTAACACATTTAAATTGTATATTGTAATCAATATGTAACAACTAGTCAAATAGTTAAAGACTACTCATAGCCTTATAAGAATTAGCTAAGCTGCTAGCTACATACAATGTACTGCACACTTGATGCCTCTGTACCAAAAACATTCAATTTATTTGAACCTAATACACACTAAAGGCAACAAGTTTATATACCAATTTGTCATTCATAGTACATTTATGCTAAACCATGAATAACAATACCTCAATATAAATTAAAGACTGCCACTCAATATTTTTAAATATATGAAAAAATCAAAAAATCAAAAAATCAAAAAAATCGTGATTTTTTTTATAAAAAAATCAAGTGATTTAATCACATGATTTAATCATTTTGATTTAATCATTGCCAACCCTGGTTTCTAACTTCAACAATGCTATTAATTTAGTACATATATATACTGATGAAATAGAAGAGTGCTATTTTATTATAATTCTCAGACCCAATCATTCAATTTTGCACATTTCTCATTGTTATCGTTACATGACAAGTAAATGCCATGATGATGGGTGTTGTTAATGGCTGCTATCTGTAGCAATGTTTGTTTGAAAACACATTGTAGTTCTGAAATTGCTGAACAATATCAAAAATTTGTTAGAGGTATTTGATTCTCAACTTTCAACTCCTTGCTCTGATATTAACCATAACCTATGTAATGAATTATCACCCAATAATCATCATTGCCTATTGCCCAAGAGCTCATGTCAGGAGCTTGAATACTCCCAGGTATGATATACTTCACCCATGGCTTTAAACTTTATTCTGATATATTTTTATGTTTTGCAGTCCACCTTCATATGTAGCATAATGTCACTCAAACCTTTTCCAATGCTGGATTCATCCAAAAAAGTTGACCCCTTTGGTCCTGCTGCTGAAGAAAAATCAACAAACATCCTGAAGAAGTGCACTAGTATGGACTCTGCAAAAAGTCTTTTGATAGCAGGAGACTCTGCCAAGAGACTTCCATTGCCAAGTGCTTCTCCATGTAGCACATTTGATGCCATTGGTTCTGGTAAAAGGTCACCCCATGTTGCTGTGAAGCGAGGGGCACTCTTTGGTGGTCTGCCATCAAGAACTGTAGGCAGGGGCTTTAGTAGCCAGAATAACAGGAGTGAATCTTTGCCCACCACATCTACTTCAGCTGAAGATAAGCTTGCTTTGGACCAAGCAAAAGGAAAGTTGGAAGTGCACAGAGCCACTGCTGGTGCTTCAGATGAAATGAATGGCTTTGATCCTCTTGCTGATGTCCAAGGCCCTAGCCTTGAAATGGTGGAGGCTGTGCACAATGTGGATGAGTCACCTTATGCTAACATGTCTCAGTCGTCTAACTTGTAAGCAACATTACTGTGTTGAATTCTTGTTAATATTACATCTGGTTTGTTAATATTACATGACGTTAAAGGTACCGTACTGGACATCTTTGAAATGCCTCATCATTTGAGTTGAAATTCATAGAGATAATATTGAAGCAACCATATGTTTATAAATATTGTTAATAAGAGAATAATTTATAGATATTTGTTAGTTCCTGTGTCATCAATAGAAACTACTGAAGTTTTATTGTTGCCATCTTTTATACTAAAAATTTCCTGAGATCTGATGCAAATGATATTACTGTAAGTAATTTAGCCTATATATCCCTTCAGTTTCTATACATTGACGAGATTGTTTGATGCTTAGAAAATAATAACATTCAACAAGATATATTAAAAATTTTGTAGTCTGAAATCTGATTCTTGTCATGATAAGATTTTTGGTCATTAATTCATTGCTGAGATAATTATTGTATCTTCGTCTTGCTGTCTGCTATGCAATTATATGATGCAATATTTGTATTAGTTTTGATCATAGTAATACCATTTTATCTATTATCAAAAATAACAAGGTACAATTTGAGTATTAAAATCTGACAAGTCGAGCTAAAAGTTAAAGTTGAAGTAATGCAAGTGTAATAGTTTAAGTAATGCAACCCTTGATTCATTGAAAAAATGCATTTCATTTAGGATGTTTCTTTTCTCAGAGCAAGAATGAAGCTTTCAGACAAGAAAGCTACAGGACTGTATGTACGAAATGTTCCTCTAGACATGAAGCAAGAAAGCTTGACCAACATCTTTCGTCAGCATGGCATGGTTCTCAGTGTCTTCATCAAAAATAATGCGAGCACAAACCATCCAACCACCTATGCTATTGTTAAAGTCCCATCAATGAAGTGAGTAATTTGGACTCTTATATGTGCGTTTTATCCCAATTTTTTTGTGGACAACCAAGCTGCAGTTCTTTGGCATCTAATTGCTTCATTTTAATTAAATGTTGTGTATACATGTTTCTAACTTGAGTTTTCTCCAGGGAAGCAATGACCATGTTGCAGAAACTGAATGGAACGCCTCCATTTAAATTCAAAGTAGAGCTGGCACTTACTGAGGAGGAAAAAAACTCCAGAAAAATGACGCAGTACTCGCTTATGACTGCTAACACACAGGTATTTATATGAATTTGCTCATGTCTCTATTCCGAAGCTTTGTATAAATGGTGGTATCTAAAATTTATGTTCATCTTGTAACTGTATCAAGTTTCTCATTAAGGTTGTAGAAAGAGAAATATTGTTTGAAATTCAAGCTCTTGTTTCTCACTTGTGAGAGTAGCCTTGAACGAATTTAAGTCTTGTTGGTTCTGTAGGTACTAGGTAGCGGTTGTAAGTGTGGCTCAAAATAATGAAGTCTGAAATGTTGTCACAATAAAAAGATTAGTTGCCCAGGAGTTTTCTTTTGAAACATTAGGTTTGATCTTGGTTGGACCTAGGAATGATCTTGGCTTATGAAATTAGTTGAGCAGATTGTTTGGATTAAAACTGTAGTTGTTGTGTTTTGGAATTCACTTTTTTAAAGGAACCATTCTTATATCATGATTAAGTAATGAAAATTTTATTTCCATTTTAGCGCACTTTCTCATTGATTGAAAAAAGGCGCTATTGTGCTCGTCATGTCCGTCCGTCCGTGACTTCACGTTTTCGTCGACGAGAAAATGCACTCTCTCTCACTCACTGCAGTGAGTAATGAGTTATATTTTTTAAAAATATAGTATTGTTTGTCCAGGTTGCAGCTGAAGTGACTGCCAGAGATGCATGCAGGCAGGAGTACCTGAAAACCATCCCCAAGCCTGAACCGAGTATCACTCCTGCTGGCGGTGTGGGCAGAGGCAAGAAACTTGCAGAAGTCGTGTCAGGAGGGTCTGTGAAGCCGCTTAATAGTGTGAGCAATCGCCAAGACGTATCAGAAGCCTCGATGTGCCTAGAAACCCCCAGGTGAGTTGAAGGATGATCACGTAATACCGCTCTTAATAAACCACGAAAAATTTGCTAATGAAGGTAAGTAAGAATATAAACGCTCTGACGTGAATCTAAAGTTTAAGTGTTGTGCGGATCACTATTTGTTGAAATTACAATGTAGCAAATACAAGCCGCAAGATCTTGCTAATGATGACAAAACGTATGTTAGGAAATACGATCATGAAGAGGAATGTGTTTTCAGGCTCTTTTGTGTTATATATTGTTGAATTTGGTTCATTTAGCGAAAAAATCTGTTTCTGTTTCACTTTCATTTGGTATTACATTTTCTTTGTCATTTGATGCTGGCTATTGGTAAGCATGAAATCTGTTTCCTCTTTCGTGTTGATTTTCTTAGTGAGAATTGTAGCGAATTCGAACTGAATGATTTTCAAGTTTGTATTTTTACTATCTGATTCAAGTTTTTTTATTACAGCTCTCAGAACTTCACTGATATTGAAGCGTCAGAAGCAAACGCTCAAAGAGAAATTTGTGTAGACGAAGATGATGCTTCAAAAACCGATACCGTGTCTCCTGAAAAAACGTCAAAGCAAGAACATCGAACAGCCACGCAAGCAGCTGCCTCAATGCCACCTTCTCCTGTGGATGCTGATGACAGTTTAATCTGTCGAGGTCGGGCCAGTCTGTCGGTCATCGCCGGAGCCGGGCTATCCGTGGAGAGGAGTGGCAAACACGCCACTAAAACTTGCTCGACTCCAGATGAGTCGTACCATGGATCTCGCGGCCACACTCCATGGCGGCGCAGAACTAGGATTTCACCTTCTAATCACTGCATCAGGTGAAAAATTAGGCGATGGATTATTTAATGGCGGTCTTAAATCGTTTTAGTATCATGGAATTATCAAGTAAAACTAATTATATATTATATAGTTTTTAAAACTATCGAGAGTAATTTTATTTGAAGAAAAATCTCAAGCTCCGAATTCTATTAAGTGGGTAAAGAATGTTGTCAACATTACAGGTGTGGAAGTTCAGCTACAATGCGCTGCTCTATTTGCAAAGGCAGCTACTGCTCGACGAGTTGCCAAGCTCAGGACTGGCGCCTCCACATGCGAGAATGCATTCCACCTCCGTGAGTCTAATTCATATAAAAGTGAAACTATTAAATTTCTTCTGGTGACCGTTAAGCCGATGAAACAAATGTGTGTAGAATTCGTGTTCTATCTATTCTGACTATGCCACAATTTGTGCAATTATAGTGTGTCACTTGACTGCAAAAGGTCACGCTAGGTGATGATGGGATGTATTATGTGTAGAAATTTCTATCGTTAGGTATATATATCTCGTATGCCCGTCATTCTACAATCAAATGACCACCCTTATAGTTGTCAAATTATTTCCCATTTTAATTGACAATTCTGCATTATAGCACTGATAGAGTATCATTTTTCTTTGTGATTTTTATTATATATCCGTAGAATGGTTGCAAATAAGCTCATATCGTTTATTTGCGTATATAACTGAATAACATTCATTCGATCGGTTAACCAAAAATAATCACTCTTTCATTTAATAGATTATATATTCGGCCAGTATATATATTTCAAAATTTGATGGGGTTATTACGGATACCGATTTTGATGCTGAATTCATCTGCAGACCTTTGGAGTGCATCGAAGATGACGATAGTGTTTTGAATCTTGGCTGCTATTCGCCTCAAGTGTACGGTTACTCAGGCCTCTACCAATCACCTTCGCCACAGCTGGTAGCATACGCCATGCAAGGGAATACAGTCAACCTTCGACCTCAGCTTAAGGAGTCGTCACTCAACAGCCTCCAAGAAGTGGAGCACACCAACGCTGTGAAATCATCTCCCTCTAAGGACGTCCAAGCGCATGTTAATCGCGATGTCACCATTGATCTACCCTTACCCACTTCCAACGCAGAAAAAGAACTTGCTGTACGCACTGAAGGTATCCAGAAGGCTAAGTTGTCTGGAATTAAGCAAGCTGCTGAAGCGCATGCGACAAAAACTGATGCGTTCAGAGCTGGAGTCGATAAATTTTCTCTAAAAAACGTTCTCAAGCCAGCGGATCAGAATCGTAATACCTCAACTCAGGCTATGAAAATTAGTCCTCACGATCCGCAATCAAGCTTGACCACAGTAGGAAGCCTATCAGCAGCTTCTGTTGATGACCTGCCATCAAAGTGCGTCGGCAATGATCTTAATGAGGTAACGGGACTGTCCATCCTGCAAGAAGAAACAGAAGAGGAAAAAATAAGTGTAGACGAACTTGACGAGCAAAGTGTGGAAGTCAATGACGAAGAGATGGCCTCTGAAATTGACAAGATTGCCGAATATCCGGGCTCCGTTCTCGATTCTCTTGTCGTTGACCAGGTGTACACTGGCATGGTCACCTTTTTGAAAGATGACGTTTTCTCGTTGATGATGCTGGATGACAATGAAGAAACTTTCCACAAGTTTTCCACGATGCTTAACTCGCTCCCCTCTCAAACCGGATTTTTACCGGAATTTGGTCGGTTGGTGGCTTCTAAAACCTCGTGTGAAGATGCTTGGTGTCGCTCTTTCATCTGCAGCGTTGATGCATCTCAAAAGTGCTACAAAGTTTGTCATGTTGACTTCGGATATCTTGACGTGGTTAGAACAGTAAAGCCGATCCCAGTTGCAGATTTCGTCACTATGCCGGCAACTGGAATCCTTGGCAAAATGGATCAACATGACCATGCTACTCGCGTTTCTGTTGGAGATTTGATTCAGTTTGTGGTGATTTCCAAGGCCGAAGAAAGCACCACTGTTAAAATTTTAGACAAGGACGGTAAATTGGCTTACCATTGCCAGTTTTTTTCTTGGTGGCACGTTATCAATTTGCTGGAACTAGAAGAATCGGGTTCCACACGCGCACCAGATGATCTCGACGCTAATGCGACTGTGCTTCCTGTTAATCAGGCTTCGTCTGCTACATCTGAAGGAGCTGACCAAGAAGTTGCTAGGGTCACTTCTCACTCAAATGCCAACATTTCACAGAATCTTTCTCCCTCTACCTCCTCTCTCGATTCTTCCAAGACAACCAATTTCACTCTATCGGATCTTCGATGCCTGTCGTTGGACATCGGAACTGAATACACTGTATTACCGGTGTGGTGTGAAGAACATTTTCTGTTCGTTCAACTCGTGGCTGAAGAATTACTCTCATTATTTGGGAATCTAATGGACTGGATGAATGGAGAATGTGAATTGGGTGAGTGTTGATATTTCTCATTGTTGGTTTACCATGATGGTTAAATAGTGTTGATATGTCTAATTGTTGATTTACTATGATGATTAAATGGGAATACTCTTTGAAGTATTGAGGCTTTTTATCATAATTCATGTCTTGAAATTCTTCATAAAACAATTTAAAAGTAAAATTTAATTATTTTCATTGGTAGTCGAATTAAATTTAATTCAGTCAAGCTAGAAGCCATATAAGTCATATTATAACCTCTGTAAAAAACATAATTTCAATTAAAAGTGTGAAATAAAATATTTTACTGGAGTTGATAGTTCAACTCGAAATTTTCTCTTACTTGCATCTCTTGTGTCTTTTATCCAGTTAGTGCGCCAGAAAAGGTGCGTGCAGGAGAACTGCTCTGCGCGTACGTTCCTGACGACAAGATGTGGTATCGTGCTCTTGTTCTCGAGGTAACCGATATCAAATTTGAATTGGTCTTGGAACAAATGCCTTAAAACGTGTGTTTTAGTCTTGTATGTTCAATTGATTTGCTTTCAAATTGCTTTTCTTATCACCTGTGCAGGCCAATTTGCCTGCCTCGAGTGTGGTGAGTGTGTATTTGGTAGACTTCGGCAGCTGCTCTGATGTGGATGTATCTTGCCTTCGACCTTCCACTCGACGAATTTTGGACCTACCAATAATGTGCATCAAAGTGGCTCTTTGTCATGAAAATGCGGTTGCGTCGAACCAGCCCGAGCGAGCTTTGGATGTTCGCTTGCATGTCTCGGACATTTTTAAGAACTTGGTGGAGTCCGCAGTGAAGCTGCGAATGGTTATTTTAGAGACAAAGGCTGGAAACTCGGGACATGCTGGACCTGCAGCGCGCTTCTCGCACACGTGGCATCTTGTCAAGCTATTCAATGAGGAAAATGGCACGCCCATTGTTGTAGCATCCGTGCAAGACGATGATGAAGTCGAAGATTCCGTGGATGAGAAAGATGGAATTTTCCAGGATGACATTGCTATCAAAGTCAAGCAGCAACGTGAATCCGATCTGGGAGGCTCTGTGGAAGCAGCTTCATCTGTAAATGAACCGGCAGATGTTGGTACCCCATCGGCACGAACCCCTCTAACGGTTGTCAAACACTCCGAAGCCGCAAATAATGGTATAAATGAGCCTGCTGTGAAAACGAGCCAGATTTCAGAAGCTGCTTTGGTGGACGTCAAATCTCAAGATCGTTCAATGCTGAAAGAACATTCAAAAACACCTGAAGATTGTTCTACGACGTCAGGTGTCCAAAGCAATGAAGTCAAGCATCTTTTAGCTCCTGGTGAAGGTACTGTTTATTTTCTCTCGTTTCTCTGTGATATAAGAGTAGTGTTCTGGACGATTTCTTGTTATTTTTTATTAGAGTGTTTGAGCAAATTATCATCTTACTTCGTCTTTGAAATGCTGTGCGTTTGCGCCATTAATTTGTCTTCATTTGGATTTGATCTGAAATGGTTAAATATTCAATACTTGCATGTCGATGAGGCAACCAAAGGGAAGTTCGTGGTTCAGAGTGAATTACATTTACGTATTTTAATGTCTCATGATAATTTATTCCTACATGTAGACGAGATCCCGAGTCGCTTGTGCTACCAAGGCTTTGAAGGAGCAAAATGAATCCTGATATTGACATTGCTTCATTCGTGCTCTGAAAGTTTCTTGTTTATGATTTTCGTTCAGGTAGTGCGATTGACCTGGCTAATGATTTATTTATACTTTCCTGTAAATTAATGTGTGCTATTTTGATGCAGTGTTTTTTTATGAAAATTGTCCCTGCGTGGCTATGGAGCCCGGCGAAAATGTCGAGTTGATCATTCTTTCTGCACTGAACACTCACACCATCATGGTGGTGCCTAAGGTAATATATCCTTGAAACATGGACAAAATTGTCTCACTTGATTAGATGTTTATCCTATTAGCAGAGTTGGGCAGCGCTACTTTGAAATGTAGCGGCCGCTACCGCTACATGCTCTAAATGTAGCGGGCTCTACCGCTACAATTACTTAAATGTAGCGCCGCTAACGCTTCTGAAAATGTAGCGGCCGCGACATGTAGCGCGATACTGCCCACCTCTGGTAACAACTAACATGTTGACACTAGTAACAGGCTGAGGTTGACAACATTACACTGAAATCTTTCGTACAGCTTTATTCTGTAATTTATATTGTGTATGTATCATGCTGGTTTTTAAATAATATTTAATACTATTAAGTTAAATCTAAAGGCTTTATCTATAAATGTAGCGGTAGCACTGTAGCGGCAAAACCTCGTATCGCTACTTAAATATGTAGCGGGCGCTACCGCTACAATTGCTTAAATGTAGCGCCGCTACCGCTACTGAAAATGTAGCGGCCGCTACATGTAGCGCGCTACTGCCCACCTCTGCCTATTAGTTAGTTTTGTTGAGTTCATAGTTGCGATGTTTCATAAGAGTAATAAGAGTTTTGGTTGCGCTGATAGAATATATGTACATGTCTGAATTGGATTATGGTCAAAATTTCCTCAATTGATTAGATTTAGATGTTCACTCTATTAGTCAGTTTAGTTGAGTTCAAAGTTGAGATGTTTTAGAAAGAATAAGAGATTTGGTCCCACAGAAAGAGATGCACCGCTTAGAAGAGATCGAAGAGTTGTCGACGAGCATGAACGAGTACTGCAACTCGCTGCGAGCTGTATACTACGAGCCTTTAGACGGCGAAGTGATACTCGCTAAATTCTCGCAAGGTTTGTGCGCTATTATTATCAGCTTTTATTATTCATATTATGAAGTTCGTTGTGCGTCTTCTGATTTTTATTGCCCACAAATTAAATTAATTAATTAAAAATTTTCATTCATCGAATGCGCATTAGTACAAGCTGTAGGCTAGGTTTAAAAGTTCTTATACCACCAACGAATTCAAGCGAAATTTATTTATTTGTTGCCGTCGAATTCGAGTTTTAAAAAGGCGTTTTTACCGAAGACATTGGGATTAATAATTTTAAATACACTATGGAACATGTTCTGTAAATTTAGTAGCACCCAAGACAACAGGTTAATAATGTGTTATTCGTTATTACATTGAAAGTGTTCTCTAAATTATTAGAATTCGAAAGCTAGCGACTCCTTATTTTGAGTAACTGTAAAACTGTTGGATTTTAATAATTTTTAAGGCGCATTTTCTTATTTATGGAAAAAATTCACTATTGTGCTCACCATGTCCGTCCGTCCGTCCGTCCGTAACTTCACGTTTTCGTCGACGAGAAAATGCGCTTTGTCACTCACTGCAATGAGTAATGAGTTATATTTGTGTGTTTTGGCAATTAGCATTACTTATATAACTCAGTGGGTACTGATCAACAGACGGGCTATGGTACCGCGCGGCGTGCCTAACAAGCGTGCCTCAGGAGGGGGCGGCAATCGTGCAATTCACGGACTACGGCAACATAGAGACTGTGCTCTTCGAGGCCATCGTACGAATGGAGGAGAGATTCGTGACGCCTATTCCGTTCCTTGCCGTGCAGTGTGCTCTTGAAGGTGTGGTAATACCGTCGGGAAATGATTTGTCGATAGAATTGAGAGATAATGTTGTTTCATGTTTTAACCGCGGGCAATTGTTATTGCTTTCATTTAGGTTTAGGTGCAGAATGATGAGACTATTCATGAAAAATTTCTGAACATGAGGGTAATTGCTATTGCTTTCATTTATGCTTAGGTACAGAATGCTGAGATTATTCATGAAAATTTCTGAACATGATGCAAGTGAGCATCTGGTTTATCTACCTGATGCCCTGCTCTATATCGCGCATAACATCGATGCGTACGGGCTAAGTCAAATTGAGCAAACGATTGTGTTCGTGTATGCCTTTTTTTCATCATCAATATACATCTTGGTCAGATGGAGCAAATGATTGTGTTAGTGTATGCCTTTTTTCATCATCAATACATATCTAAGTCAGATGGAACAAAACTTGCGCAGGAAAGGTGTCACCATCCTGACCACAGAGATGAAGGCATGCACCTTAAAAGATTGTGTTCGTGTATGCTATATTTCGTAATCAATATACATCTTAGTCAGATAGAGCAAAAGATTGTGTTCGTGTATGCTATATTTCATCATCAATACATCTTGAAAACAATATTTTCAAAATCCCCAGGTACCGGCGACCAACCAAGCAGCGACGTAACCGCCGCTCGCCTCGCCGAGCTGCTGCCGGCGTTCAGTCCCGTGACGGCGGCGCGCGTGCTGCCTCAGGACCCTGATTCGCTCGTGTACGTCATCAGCATCCCTGCCGTCCTTGAGGCCTTGAAATCTGAGGGCCTCTTGGCCACACCGTAAATGTCAATTGCTTTCATAAGAAAAGGATTTCTTTAGCAACCATGTCTTAGCTTGCTGTTTCATTTTGCTGTAGATTTGAAACGGTATTTCAATCATTATTTCATCATTTGCATAAGTTATATGCACTTCTGCGTTAGCGATGAAAAAATTTAATTTACTTGGAAAACACATTTTTATTTTTACACGTTGAGTGCTGCAAGACCTACCAGCGCTGTCAGATGACCTAAAGAAGGCCTAAAATTCAAATAATACTAGTAAATTTGTAGGTTCCGGTGCAAAAACTGAATTTTCCTTTTTTCCGTAATATTTACATTTTAATGCGAAAGTACTGCCATCATGAATTTTTGTTGATAAACGCAATCGAAAAACTCCAAATCGCGGAATAGTCTGGAAATGAAATTCCTACAACCCACAGGTTTGTCGTGCCGCACTCAACGTGTTAACCAAATGCTTTCTATGTGCAACGCTTGATAGTTGGCGCTGGTGACGCGCCTCTGAATGGATATTTTTTATTATTTTTTTTACTCTTGTCTTAGTTGTTCAGTTAACTTTAGTGTCAGTTTAGTTTTACTTGGCAAAAATGGTTGTTCATACCTCTTAAGTGTTGTCGCGGCGCTTGGATATTCTTGCCAACATTGAATATCGCTGGATATCATATATGTAGGTTATTATGCAAGTTTTGACGGAAATGTCGACGTTACATTTTGTTTTGCGTCAAGTTTCAATTAGAGGAATGCAAAAAACACCGATTTTTTTTAACCAATTTGGATAATGAAAGGAGTTGCGTAGCGTTGATGTATTTACGATTATGCGTGGCAAGTGTATCTTCGAGAGGAATAACGCGGATTTCTTACAGCCTGAACGAGGTTAGAAAAGAAAGGTTACATGGTAGTTAATTAATCAGAGCTATAGAGAGCGAGTTTCAAATTGTTGACGTCCATGTTAACGTTAATTCACGAAACAGACGCGGAATGATCAGGTTTGTCGAATATAAAAGAAGCACATACAATCTACTGTTGCAAATCGGGAAAATAAGGTCACTCTGAAAAATACATATTCGTCACAAAACGCCAGTTAATCCTAAATTTTTAACGCAATACTACTTATGAAAATGTTGACTACAAGCGCTATACTAGTTCTGCAAGTAAGGAACATTGAACGGGAGAGCGGAAGCAAATGCAGAAAGATAAAGTGCAACTAAGAGCGCCTTTTAACATAAAATATAGTGTCATTCAACATAGCATTGTACAGAAGCTCTGGAAGTAATTGTGTTATGAACGGTATTCCAACAACGCGCAGACGTGGCCAAATCCATTCATCTCCATATTTTTGCTCGCACTTGAATATGCTTAAACCTATTATTAACATAGCGTAACACTCAAGACCAAACAACATATGCATTAATAAATATATTAAATTGTTGATTAAACCGAGTTCCTCCAGAAAAGCCGGAAGTAGTCGTTTCATACACTATCTTTTGCAGGCTAACTGGGCAAGATAAGCTTATATATATATATATATTTGGTACTAAAGCATTGCAAAAAAGAGAACACACACTCAATCAACTTGTTATTTGTAAGCTATAAGACATCTTTCCTGAAGGAGTTCCCATGTGATCCAACGTTAAAAAAAATTAGGTACGATAGTGCAAGTATTTATGCCGCTTATAAGGTATCGTTGTCATGAGAAATTATTGATACAGTCTCTTGTTAAGAATGATTTCAGGTTTGAAACGATGTGCGCTCATATTTTAATTTGTACATTCAAATGGAAGGTGTAAAGGGAAAGGGACACATCATAAACTGACATTTATGATGATGAATATTTGAGCAGTTAACGAATTATTTTCACGCTAAATAGGCAAAATCAAGAATCAGGAATTACCTTTGTGTTAATCATGTAGAAGAATCATTGCTAAATTGATCAACCTCGACAGATACAAAGGAACAAGTTATTGAAACAAATATCAATCAAGGTACTACCTAAATAAACCCGTAATCAGCTCAACACGCAGGGCATTCTTCCTTCACGCAGTGACAAATTGAACAAAATTCCACTGCAAGAGGCTAGTTCAGAAATAAAGTCCTTAAGTGACGTTAACTACTGTATGCTGATGATAATAACGAGCGATTTTCTTCATAATATGACGGAAAAAGTTCAGGGGTTCATTATGACATTCGAAAGTAATTTTTACAAATTTGAATTTGGTGAAAAGAAACAATCTTTGCATGTATTGGGACACAACGAGTAGGATTTAAATATACATAATTAAGTCCAATATATATAATTTTCAGTCGCGTAGTACTAACTACATAAACATGAATTCCATTGTTAACTCGGCCAAGTAAGTTCTTATCTTTAAGTAAATATTTGGTCACTTTTTTTATTTAATTTTGATGATGGCATTAGGCCACATCATGATGCGCTAGAGTAGGATTTCCCTCCGGACAGTCTAATAAAAACCGGATGCTTATTAATTATGACAAGACGAATAAGGCTGACTTCTCAAGAAAAACACCCGAAAAGAAGTCTTATGTTAGAATCATCAGATCATCATGGATGGGAGAGCATAGAACGCAGCACTGTGAGCCATAAAATACGAGGCAACCAGGCACTTGAAGAACGTTTCTCAAGGTTCGCTGGAAAATTCTATCTCTCTGGAATATGTTCCGTGTATCAAATTTTTATAGAATAGAAGTTCGCAGCAAAGTCGTCAATTTATTTGATAAGCGTAGTTAAAATCTTCGTTCCAAGAGGTCAGATTAATAATAACTTTCGTGAGCGTCTTTATAGTGAATATAAGTTAAAATAATTCGAATCTAACAAAGATCGTGAAGACAAACTTTTTGATTCTACGAGAAAAAGGCAGATCAGGCCACAGCACTCTCTCTATAAAGAACGATACAGCCATGAAGTTAAATGCAAGATTCAAAAGCTACAGTTAACAGAATGGCAAGAATTGTTAGCTGCACTTTATGACCTACGGTAAGCGTCAAAGAACATGGATATACTATAGCGCGCACACACAGTTCATGTTGCAAATCGAGTTGAGTTCCTAAACTCTAGGGCATGGAAGAGGAAATTGTAGAATTAACTCTTTTGAATAAAGCTGTTTTAGATTAAAATGTTACTCCACGCATCAGTTTCAAACTGAGACTATAAATTTTCTAAAGCGAGCATTTCGTTCGAGCACACGCATTTATTTCACTTTATCCACTATATATTTCTAGCTCCGTGAGAGTACATAAACGATTATTTAAATTTGATTAGCTTTAGGAGTCACACATAACGTAAGCTACACGGGAAGATCGCCCTGTTCAGTTAAAATTACTTTTCGTCTCATAGGTTCATCACTTGCATCTTCAGCAAATACGTCTAAGATGCTTTGACCTTTACCAAGCAGCGCGGTTTTCATCGAAGCACGAGGATTGCCGGGAGGCTTAGGAAGACTAGGCAACGGTCCTACATCTTCGCCACCGGTATTTGTTTCAGAAGAAATAGGGGTGGTTTTAATGCCACGATAATTTTGTTCATTGGTTGATTTTGACTCTGGCTGAGAAGAAATTTTCTTAGCGTCCCGTGATTTTGGTTCCCGTTGGTTCATGCAATTAACACTTGGTGGCTGATGCCTGTGGTGTGGCTCACAGGTCGAGGATGAATGAATTACGGGATCATTGCTGGATTCAGACGAAGGGACGTGTGTTGGCTGATCTGACGACGAGAGCACCTGTTAAATGAAGAACAATTTCAGTTATATGATAGGGCATGCAGGCTTATTCTTAACCCTCTATCGCCTGACATGAGTAAGGGAGCAATATTGTCATAAGCCTACTTCCCAAAACGGATACGTTCTAGTGAGCGCACAATGACTTGCACTGATGTTTGCCGCCACGTACGACAACTTTAAAATGTTCTCTGTTGCGTATAAACGTCCTCAGGTTGCTACACTCAATAGTTTACGTATAATTTTAGTTGAAAGTTATGTTCCCGGAGATTGCGTACAAACGTCCTCAGGTTGCTACACTCAATAGTTTACGTATAATTTAAGTTGAAAGTCATGTTCCTGGAGAGAGACATACGGCGGTAGAGGGTTAATTCTGTGGGAAGTATTAGATCTTTAATTTGAGCTGTAAGCGACTTGTTTTAATTACATCCTATGTTTTATGAGAAAAACTGCATGAATACATGGGTCTAGATATTATTTTTTAATATTTATTTCTTCCTTTTGTTTTATCAATAGGTCCACCCAAAGGTGTACTCGCGAACAATATTCTCAGATAATTAAATTATAAAAAGGCTTTCATGTTTGTACAAGAAAGGGTATCAAAATAAACTTTACGCATCGGATTTTGAAAATATTAATATTGATAGGCGCCACGTGACTTAACAGCACGATGATTTAAGTAAAGTTTGATAACTCGGATTACAAATTAAGATTTTCTTCAGTCAAAGAAGAAGATATAGTTGTATTAAATTAGAATTGTAATACAAAAACTGTGAACGAAGTTTGAAGACTACATTTACAATGCAGTATAATGGTTTTAAAAGATGGCTGAAAGACTTTCTAATGCAGTGTAATGGTTTACAAAAATGAGTGTTAAATGTGGGCTGTAGATGATAACCAAACATGTATCAGGTTAACACGTAATGAGAATCAATATTATTGAATGTGAAGGAAAACGAAACATGTATCAAGTTTACCTTCAATAACGACGAGTATCACACGAGTGACATGATCACACCATGCCGGACATTGGTAACTGTTAAAAAATTAAAATAAAGCAAAACTGGAGAAAACAAGAAATGGTTCAGCAGGCAAATTCAGCACGAAAAAAATGCTATATAAATATGAAAAAGGAAATAAATTTTTTTATAAAAATAATAAAATGACAAATAATTGGATATGATATTGAAAAAGTTTCAGAAACGAAAATTTTCTGATATTGGTTAGATCGTAACATTGAATGGATCTGAAATTGCATACATCGGCAAACATGGAGAAAAGCGTCGATAAAGGCAAGGGTAAAAGCATGCAAACACAAGACACAGGTTGAGGTAGAAAAATAATGGCATAACAAGCAGGTTCACGAGTTTCAGGATTGAATTTAATTGTATACCAGAAAATACGAGAAAACCAGATGCGAGAAAAATTAAGTCAGGCTGAATACACTGTGAAATTTTCATACTTATAGCAATGGATTTTGCTACTGGGGGATTCTTAGAAGTAGCAATTACGTCTTTAGAACAGCAAAAAAATTTTTCATGCAATGATTTGAAGTTTTTAATGCCCGTCCAATGAACTCTAAATGTTATCACAGCACATTGGTTTTGGCAGGACCCAGAATTTTAGCTCCCAACACTTAGGTGGCAAAAAAAAAAGACGCAACAACTTTCTAGCAACATTAAACGGTAAAAAAAATAATATGAACTTCACACACCTAATATTACAAGCATTTGTATTAGGATCTTATGAGGCACGTTATTAAGTTAGTATTTAGACGTAGCACATTACGACACAACAAATAGCCCATAGTTTATTTTACTGCAGCAGCTACCCACCGCTAGAGGGAGAGTGGGGAGTAGAGGGGAGGGCAGTACGGGTGAACTAGAGGATCGTACGTACCTCCCCACGGGACGGGGAAAATTACGCTTCAGACTGAAAAAATTGTACAGGACAAGCAGGGTGAGGGAGAGGAAGGGTGAGGGGAGGGGGAAGGGTGAGGGGAGGAGAGGAAGGGTGAGGGGAGGAGAGGAAGGGTGAGGGGAGGAGAGGGAGGGTGCGTGTGGAAACTAATAACCAAAATTTGAATTTCGGCAGCCATTACTGAGGAACGAAATCAAGTGACTAAAAAATTTGTCTGTCAAATGAAAAACCGGAGGTTGGTTTACACTAGGCTAAGAATATAAGTAAATTAGACTTGGTTGGAAAGAACGTGGAAATAATCTTAATAAAATGAAAATAAATTCATATGCAGGAAATTTAAAAAGGTAAGCAAAACTAGTGAATAAATTAGTGAAGAAGAATTTCCACTGATAATCTACACTATGTAAGAGAATGTGCACGCCTTCTAGAGGAAGATGTAAAAAAATTTCAGAGGTGCAAATAAACAAGGGCGCGTAGCAGGCACTAAAATATGATGCCGATGTATAATAAATTCAAACTAGAAATAAAAATGTAGCAATCAGAAAAACTCGACCTTGACCTTTACCAAATAATAACGTTAGGTGCTAAAATATGATCTGTTAACTAGCGCTTACGATTACCGTGGTTAATTTAGCGATGAGAGTTCTATTTTAAAAATCGGCACACTAACATCGCTAATAGTTACATCTAACAAAAATTTGGAACGAACAAATCTGGTCAGATTTTGCACGCGATCACTGCAGGGTTAAATTCAATATAATCCAGGGCGATCACTGCAGGGTTAAATTCAATCCAGGGCGATCACTGCAGGGGTAAATTCAATACAGTATACATATAATTCACCTCGTTCCTGTTAACAGTAAGTCCAGCGTCTCCAGACGCAGGTTCGAAGTCAGTTTCTCCGCCGGTGCCGTAGGTGCGAGCGCCAAAGAAGAAGCGGTCTTCTTCGCACCCTGACGCTGCGGTAGCCGCTCCTGTATGTACATGCAAGGCTTACGACCAAATTACCAACGCAGATATAAAAATCGAACAGAAAATAAAGTGAGACCCGATAATATTTTTATTGCAGTGTTCGATTCAAATGGAGAGACTGAATAAAAAAATTCTTCTGGTATCAAAACCGTAGCCGCAAGTCTCCAAACCATGAGCTTGATATTCACGCTTAACCTCTGTCACATATTCAGAGACTAGACCACAATGTTTTGTTCTCCTAAAAACAGGAGAGCAAGTAAAATTCAATGACATATTGATCACAAAATGTCACAAAAATATGAAAACTGAAGCTTCAGTTCCAACAGTAAAAAATCTGAGATTTGGCTCGCCGTTGCTGACGCTGCAGGAGATCGTACATACGAGACTTGGTGTTTGCTGACGCAGCGACAGCTGATAAAGACGAGACTCACCGTTACTGGCGCTGCTGTTGGATATTTTGAGGACATCAGGCACGAAGATCCCTGACTCTGGTCTCGGTCTAGGCGATGATGCAGGCCCGGGAGAGTCTCCTGACGCGGCGGTAGTGGCGCTGTCGCCGGGTGTTGCCTCGTCGCCATCGGTACGACCATCGCACTCGGAGGTCTGCAGCAACAACGTCACTTTAGAACCTTGAATTATTCGAAATAAATCAATAATAATTGAAATTTTTTAGGTATGAATATCAGATTTACATGGTTTCTATGAGATAAGAGCTCGAGAAAATTTTCAAGCTTCAATTAAAACCTTTTCAAGCCTACAATACTGAGATCCTTGAACCAGAGGGAAGCTAAGATTCGTGATGACGACAAGCAGCGTTTTCGGAACATCATAATTTTTCACCTATTACCGCACTAGAATGTATTTTCTCTAACGATATTCATAATTCAGTGCCCAATAACCTATAATTCCATCACCTTATAGTCGATGGGGCTGAGATCCTTGAACCAATGGAACCCTAGATGCGTGATGACGATAAGCAGTGTGATGCAGAGCAGCACGAGGCTGTAGATGCTGCGTGGTTTATTGATGCCTTGGCGCACCACCGAAAAGAACAGCAAGCACAGCTGCAGCAACACGATCGACACCATCACGAAGTTGACGGCGGTCGCGTGAATGTTTTTACTGATACGCGATGGCCCGTACGCGAAGTAGATGTTGTATTTGTCAACAAAATGCTTGAAGATCATGTACAGCAAGCCTGGGGACAAGCAGACGATGTTAGTTCAAGATACAGAGGGAACAAAGTGCTTGAAGATAATTTGCTCACTGGTATTGACAATGAACAAGTTAGGATTTTAACTTTAGAAAATAATTTCTGTGACCGATATGAGTAAGCACACTAATTTTTGAAAACGCAATCGTTATTATGCTTGTAAATATTTTTAAATATTGTAATAGTGTATAATGGTTATTAGTGAATTTAGGCTGTGTTTGGAGATACATTACAATATTGTAATGATTATTTAAAATTTCAACAGTATAGGATCCTAGGTATATTTGAGCTTTGTTGCGAAATTCATTTCAATAGTGTAACTATTATTTAATAATCCAACAGTAATCAGTAAACTTAGGCCCTATTCGGAGGTTCACAACAATATTGTAATGATTATTCAATATTCAAACAATATTATAACTATCAGTAAATCAAAGCTTATATCGTTGGTCAGCTCAAATCGCAAGTTCACCAAAATTTAAAAACAGAGAAAACGCAAAGAAAATTCACTATATTTCCCATGGAAACGTTTGGGAAACCAGCTCCATTAACAGTTCCAACAACTTTATGGACTAACAAGTACAAATTGTTTGAACAGATGATGAAGTTGTTCTCTGAAACGTTTTCATTGGAGATATGATGTCACTTTGTGTTTTCTTTGCTTTTAAATTCTCGGTAACTTTAAGAAGGTTTTTATTCATGAGGTACCAAATCAATGTACTTGGCGTTTTCTTTGCTTATAAATTGTCGGTAACTATAAGCAGAATTTTATTCACGGCTTACCGAATGAATGAAATTTGTTTCAAATTGTTAGTAACATTAAGCTAAATTTCATTCATGAAGTACCGAATAAATGTACTTTGCTTTAAAATTTTCGGTAATTTTAAGCATAATTTCATTGATAAGGTACCAAAAGGCGTGACGAGAGGGCAGGAGATGGAGTATATGATGGTCATGGCGAAGATGAGCAGCATCCACGCGTACTGAACACCGAACTGAAACTCGTAGAGGATCGCGCGCCGTACACTCGCTGTCTCCGCTTCTGATCTGCAATATTGACATTATATAGTTATTTATAATATATACATCGAGATTATATAGAGTTACATATAATATATACATTGAGACTATATAGTTACATTATATGCAACATAGATTATAGTTATTCTATTCGAAACAACTAATAGTTTTGAAACGCATCATAAACAATAGTTTTGATATGCAAAAAAAAAAAAAAAGATTTGATATGCATCATAAAGAATAGTTTTGGCATACAATAAAATAGCTTTGATATCTAATAGTTTATTTGATATAATAATTCATTTGGAATTATAACTAAAATTTCAGATATCGAAACACACCACTTAACATTTATTATGAATAATAATATTCAAGGATCAAATGTTGGAATGAAAAATGCCTGCCTGACAAACTTTAGATCAATTTAACGCCTCTGATTCACAACACGAAAATAATATTGGATCCATATTTCAAGCTTAATAAAGGCTTTATGCATAAATGTTCCCTCTGATCCCTCTCACCTGGCGAGGGCAAGCCTGATGATGTACATGAAGAGTTCAGGGAAGCGTATGAGCTCAAGAGAGGTGCCTATGAAGACCTAGTATACCCAGCCTATTAAGATAGTTATGAACAAATGTTACTACCTCTGATCCCTCTTACCTCGCGAGGTCAAGTCTGAGTTATGAACAAATGTTACCTCTTATCCCTCTTACCTCGCGAAGTTATGAACAAATGTTACCTCTGTTCCCTCTCACCTCGCGAAGTTATGAACAAATGTTACCTCTGATCCCTCTCACCTCGCGAAGTTATGAATAAATAATAAATGTTCCCTTTGATCCCTCTTACCTGGCGAGGGCAAGCCTGATGATGTACATGAAGAGTTCAGGGAAGCGTATGAGCTCAAGAGACGTGCCGATGAAGGCAGACGTGATGATGTAGTTCACGAAGAACGCGCCGTTGTCGGGCAAGAAGACGCACTCCCAGCGGTACGTTGAGTTAGTCGTCGGGTCTGCAATCCATTCTACTAATGCTTTCGCACTGCAAGAAAAGTTTATCGGTTTAGAATTCAGTTTTTTGGGAATTTTTTGTTTATTTTGAAATTTTAGAACGGAAATTTCATACATTTTCATCAATTGCGGTCATTGAATCTAATTTTAATAAATTTAAAAATGTTTTTTCAGAGTATGATATTTGTCAATTTACAATTCAGTTTATTTGGTCATTTCATGAATATCTTGAACTTTTAGAACGGTAATTTCATACATTTTCACCAATTTCGGTCATTAAATCTATTTCAAATTAGTTCAGAGTACGATATTTTTCGTTAATATACGAAGGACCAAGGACGCTCTACAAAACGGAAGATACTGCCGCAAACTAGATGCTTATCCCTTGTGATGAAGTGTCGTGATATTAAAAGGGAAATAGATTGAAGGGTTAAACCGAAAAGCGAAAATAAGGAGACTGCATCATCAATAGCTTCTGGAACCATTTAAAAAAATATACACGAGTTGCCAATCTCTTCCTACGTCACACACTTGCGCTAAAAGCAATTCAAATTTCAATCCAAAGAAACATTCAATTGAGAATGGAAGAAAAAAAAATATTTATAGAGAACTGATTTTCAATTGGTTCCATAAAATATTCATTTCGATACGAGAACGGCGACTTAAACTACGCTAGCGAGACAAGCGTCATCGCCGGTGTGCGCATTTGCATTGAAGCAAATGCACACAAAAAACAAGAAGCAAACGTGCATGAAGATATGAGCATAAAACGAGAAGCAAACGCGCATGAAGATAAGTGTACGTGTAAAAAAAAAACAAGAAGCAAAGCGCAAAAAACAAGAAGCAAACGTGCCTGGTGAGGCCGAGAGAGGGCAGGATGATGACCATGAAGAGCAGGAAGCAGAAAGTTTTCCTCATGACGGCGTGGTTCTCAGCAGACCGCGTCCAGTGCGACATGAACTGGTCAGAGTACGCGACCAGAACTGGCATCAGAGCCGCCATCGTCCACAGCAGCAGAGTCGGGAAGAACTCTGACAGAACCGGACTCTGGAAAATAATTAAAATTGCAATAAAATCTTCAGCAGCTAAGTCGGAAAAAACTCTGACAGAACCAGACTCTGGAAACTAACTCGAATTACAATACATTCTTAAGCAGTAGAGTCGGAAAGAATCGGACTCTGGAAAATAACTTGAATTACAATACATTCTTGCTTGTCGGTTGAATACCAATGAACCAACCATCTGCTCGAGCTTGTCGGTTGAATACCAATGAACCAACCAACTGCTCGAGCTTGTCGGTTGAATTCCAATAAACTAACCATCTGCTCGAGCTTGTCGGTTGAATATATATCAGGATTCCGGTGGAAGTATAGTAGCTATTTTAAACTATTGTCAGTCCTGAGAAGATCCGGTCAAATGACACGATTTTAGATCTTCTGTGAACAAGGCACGAAAAGTAAGAATCGGCGACAGGCCACATCAGGCCTACACTTCAGCGCCGACATCACCATGTTATGTTATATCAATAAACTAACCATCTGCTCGAGCTTGTCTGTAAGGAAGACAAAGTCTAGAGAGTTGATGATGACAGCGGGTGTAGTTAAGAAGAACAGCACAACGAAGAGAATAGCGTTGATGATGAAAGCCTTGGCCCACCAATGCCGCGTTGTTACCGACAAATTCTTCCTGCACATATAACATATCTGGTTACTTCATCTTAGTAAATATAGAAATTTAGAAATAAAGAAAATTTTAAATTATTTTAATTCTGCTAGCTTGAATATACGTGAAAATAATCACAGTCTTGCGTAGTAGATAATTATAAATAATTACAAGCCTGAGCTAATATTACCCGTAATAGTGGACTTGATCTAATAATAGCATTAAATTATCAGATTTAAAGCGTGTTTAAATAATGCTAAGAATTTATAAGAAGCATCTATGAAAGCCATCGAGAAATGATTTAAAATTGAGGAATTCAAACCTAGACTAGAATATCAAATATGTCTAACAACCTTAATTCTACATGGATGCTACCTAATTATTGGTCATGTACCGATTAATATTATAGTATATGTACCAACCTTAATACCTCATTGGAGGCATTACGATTTAAACACAAGGATAGCAGTTGTATGAAGGTCTTAATGAGAAACTAAACTGAAGGTTGGTTAAAGCTGCCAATTCACGGAAGTTAAATAACTTTGTGGCATAATTCCTAATAATTTGTTTAAATTGTTATGCCTAAAAGAGATTCTTTAGCTACAACGAGCTTATAGTTTTTTTATTTATCAAACCACCTAAATAAAATCAATTCATAAATATTCAGTCTATCTATCAAGTTAATGTTGCCAAACAGCATTCACAACTGCCACTTTCACAACTGTTCACAACTGCCACTTTCACAACTGCTACTTTCACAACTGCCCCCTTCACAACTGCCACTTTCATAACTGCCACAACAACTGTTCACAACTGCCACTTTCTTGGTCTCTCGATTACTTATTTGATGAATGCAAAAAATGATCATGAGTTAGCTTATGTTTTATGTACCAATAAATATTATTGATCATGTACCGATGAATATTATAGTATAAGTACCAATAAATATTATTATATACCAGCAAATATTATTATATACCAATAAATATTGATAAATCGTGAGCTTATGTTTTTTTGTACCAATAAATATTCATAAATAGTGAGGCTTATATTTTATGTACCAATAAATATTATTATATACCAATAAATATTCATAAATGTTGAGCTTATGTTTTATGTACCAATAAATATTCGACGGCGAAGGAGCAGCGCGAACAATCCAGTTGTGGGGCTTCAGGTCCGCAGATACGGACGACCCTGCCGGTTCTCCCATACATCTGGCGAATTAAATTAAATTTCCAAAAAAACTTTATTACTTTATTCCTACTTCAGTTAAAATTATCACTGCAAATCTTGGAAAATCTTATCAAAAATCTTACCAGATAATCGTGAAAAATTATCAGAATCATGAACAGAATTTCATGTGCAAATAACATTATGATTTTTTTTTGAAAAAAAGATATTAACAAGGATTTCCTGTAGGAATGGAGGTTTAGTTTTTAGTAGAATGGAAAAACTTTTTCAGTCCTGACATGTTTAGTCACAAACTAAATGAACAATATAATGCTATATAATTCGTCAGAGACCTCAATATCAAACAAAATTTGTACAATGAAAACGCTTCGAATTTGAAAATAAATTTGAGAGGAAATATAGAATAAACCAAATTTTTACCGCTATTACATAAATAATAACAATCAATCAATACCTGAATTTGTCTTGTTCATTCAGCAGGCATCAGACGAAGGAATAATGTCAAATGAACGTTGTTTCAACAAAATAAAATCGTTAAATCAACGTCATTTGCTTGGAGGGGAAGGATGACTATAAAATAGACGAGATTTAGGGTCTGAGTGAACCAAATAAAGATCCCCCCACTACGTAACAGATCTGCAGTCAGATTTCAATCCCTGCGGAAAGGATCACTTTCCGTGGCAGGGCCAAGGCTGTTCAACATCCTACCAAAGGATCTAAGAGAGGGGGAGTTCACCCTGGAGACCTTCAAGAGACAACTAGACGTGTTCCTGAGCACAATCCCAGATAGACCTCCCCTGCAACACTGCCAGCGGCGAGAAGCAAGCAACAGCATCGTGCATCAGGTGGCCCAAATGAGGGCGGATGAACGATAATCAGAAGCGGCGATCCATCGTGGCCTGGGACTGCTACGTCCCAAACAAATACCAAGGAAACACCACGCACCTGCAAGGCACGGACTTGTGATCCTTCATAACTTTCATCGCACTTTCTCTGGAGTCGAGCGTTACGAAAGCGACTCCCGTAGGACGCTGCAGAGCTTTAACTTTCTCCGTCTCCACCCTGGCCTCGAGGCAGGTCTCCAGCTGCGAGTAATACTCCAGCGCATCCACCTGATGAAATACATAATTACTATTTGCTATAACATTAGCATTATGTATCAATAAATAGTTTGGTGCTAATACAAATAAAGGCGTAATATAGGTGCAGGTGAGAGTAATGCTCCAGCGCATCGAGCTGATGAAATGGACAATTAACAATTTGCTTTAACAATTAGCATAGGTCACAAAAAATAGATTGATGTTAATACAAAAAAGGAGTTATATAGGTACCAGGTGCGAGTAATATTCTAGCTTGTCCAACTAATAGGAAATACAATTTACAGTATGTTGATAAAATTAACGTCATATCATCTTCACTCGTATTTTACTACCAGAAGTTAAAGACTTTAGCTAAGTAAGTAGATAGATGCTATCAAAATTTAAAAGAGTCAACTGGAAAAGGAGTTTAATTTTATGGCATTAAATACCTAACACAAAAGAATTATAGTATACTTTAACTTACGATGGCCACACGTGAATCAATTCAATCGTTGAAAATCACAAAATAGTTCAATATAAACCCGGTTTAGACATCTTTGTAAAAAAAAATTTCACAAAATTCACCAAAAACTCGAATGACCTTTGCGTTTCTACTTAAATATATACTATATGAGGATGTGTACGTTGATTTAAATCCATGAAATATTATCTGAAAAATTATATTGTGACATACATACCTTAGGACAGCCGAACATATCACAGCAGCCACATACACTGCATGTTGTAACATACCTTAGGACAGCCGAACATATCACAGCAGCCACATACACTGCATGTTGCAACATACCTTAGGACAGCCGAACATATCACAGCAGCCACATACAACACCACATTTGTATGGCCGCATGAGTAGACGCTCTCCGGTGTCTTGTTCGTAGCCCTCGCAGTACAGCTTAGCTTGGTGCGCCAGCTCTCTGTATAATTAATTCAGTAATAAGTAATTAATTCTCTGGTAAATTCAATCAGTAATAGGTAATTTAATCTCTTCAATTAATTCAGTAATTTTATTCCTTATTAATTCAGTAATTTAGTCCTCCTTATTGATTAATTTTATTCCTATTTTTGTTGATGGGCTAGCACTCTGTTGAATTCAATCAGTAATTTTATGAGTCATTTGATTTCTGCCTAAAAATGTAGTTTCATAAGCCAATAAATTAAATTTCATATGCTTGATGGGCTAGCTTCCTGATAAATTAATTCAGTAATTTTATTACTCATTTGATTTGTGAGTAAAAATGAAGTTTCACAAGCTTGATGCGCTAGCTTCCTGTTAAATTCAGTAAATTCATTGCGATTCAGCTTGGCTTGGTATGCCAACTCCATGTTAAATTCATGCAGTCACTTTACTGTTTACTCCCCATTTGATCTCTGACTGTACGTGAAATTTCATTTCAGTCCAGCATTTCTTGTTAACTTCATATAATTTTATCAGCATTTGATTAGACATTTTTTATTAGAATTTTACACCCCAGCAGTGTAAGAATCGGAATATCTATAAAGAAGATCATTGGATTCTTCATAACTCAAATTCGAAGAACTGATTGATCATGGATATTATTAATGATCTTAAATTTGACTATCAGCTGCCCATTAGCGTACCTACTTTTTTTTAGTTGATGCCAAACACAATACAGTCAAAAGCTCATTAATGTAATGTAAGTTCAACAAATATTTAGTTGATTGGAGAAACGTTTTATCTAACTATCTTAATTTTATTTCATTATTAGCATGAAAAATAAATAACAAATTAAACAAATCTAACTATGAATTTATATGGCAACTGCATTTCTATATGGCTAACAAATTATTTTAATAAATAATGTATTATTTATACATTATTCATTAAATGAGGTGAATCAAGAGGTTCAACCAAGAAATCAATGTGGACTATACAACGAGATAGATATTAAATTAAAGAAAAAATCAAATTATTAAATTAAATTATAGAAACGTGAAGATATATATTATTTATTAAATATGGTGAATGACCATGAAATCAATGTGGAATATGCATGAGCAACTCACCTCTGGCTATCGTAGAGGATAAGTTCTTTTATCCCGTAAGCAAATTGCACATCCACGACCTCAACATCTGGGTAGGCCTCCCTGCAGAAGGAAAAAATTGAACAACGATCACTTTTTCAGTCATAGTTAAAATACTAATGAATAACGAAATTGTTAGCTGATACAAAGTCTAAGAGGAAGTGATTGAAATTATACACTTGAACTCAAATGATAATTTTCATTCATAGTTAGAATACTGATGAATTACAAAATTGTTAGCTGATACAAAGTCTGAAAAGAAGTTAACTTTGAGTGATTGAAATTATACACTGATTTTTCTTTATTCAGAACAAATAATGTAAAGCAGAAGTAGGTAAAGAAAGTGGTTTCGATTCAGAGGTCCAGCAATTGGGATTCCATCTCGATTGACCAGAAGGAGTTTAACTTCAAAATTCAATCAAATCAACTTTAACTTGGATCTTGCCAGATGATTGTTCAAGTTCATTAAAATTACTATTGTTTGAGTTACCGTACATAAAATGAGAGTTCAAGTCCTCTAAAATAATTGTTTATGTCCTCCAAAATAATTTTCCAAGTTCTCTAAAATAATATTTCAAATACTCTGAAACGTGACGGCAAAACCATCTCATGTCCTCACTGGAAGTGCCTGAGAATCATTTCTTTATGGCAGGATCGGTCCCATAAAATGATAGTTCGAGCATTTAAAAATGATTATTCCAAACATTAATACACATATTTCAAGTCCGTTAGAATACCACAACAAAACATGTCATGTTCTCACTGGAAGTGCCTAAGAAGCGTGTCTTTATGGCAGGAGCGGCGCGGAACGTGCGTGATCATGACGGTGCGAGAGACCGACGAGTTAGCGCCCTCATCCTCGGCCGGGGGGGCGTTGGGGTCCAGGTCTGTGGTCTCATTGATGTTCAGTAGGCGTGAGTGGTGGCGAGTGAACGCGATGCCCAGCGGCAGGAACAGGAACGCCAGGGTGATGTGCACCCACATGAACGGTGAGCTGTGACCAGGGTCATCACTTCATTATCATTACAATTTATGGCTAATGGTTATGGTTATAAGTTACGGCTAATGATCATGGTTACAAGTCATGACTAATGGTGATGATAATTATGGCTAATGTTTACAAATCGATAGAGATGCCTACTTGAAGACTCGACACGTATAGTCTAGTCTTGCTATAAAAGATCACATATTGAAGAGCATAAAGTGCTGTACCCACATGAGAAGATAACTGCACTGGGGGCAATAATAGGAAATGATAAAGATTATATGAGCATTTACAAAAAGGAAGCAATTGACTATTGTGTCTTCACTTGAATTATCATGGCCTAAATTGGTTATAATATTAAATATGTATTGTAAAAGTTAGAGATTCAGGCTAACGGAAAACAATTTTAAACTTGAACTTGCACAACTGATGGAGATGTATTCACCTATGGGACTGATCAATAAGCAAATATTTACACCAAAATTTGATGCATGTATTTTTATAGCTGAATTATTTGAAGTAATATTGAAAATATGAGCCGAAAATAGTAACTCTAAATATTGTAAAATTTCAGTAAGTACACAATCAAGTTTATCTCATAATTTAAGGTGAAACTTTTTTTAATGATGTAAATCATTGCACTTCAAGGAATTAGCAAGAGATACTGATGGAAATATATGATAATTTATTATTAACTTACCAAATGAAAGTATTTTTAAGCAGATCAGAAAAAGAGAGATGTAAATGAGAATACTGTGTTCAGAAATCAAGTCAGACAGATTACAATCACTTCACGAAAATCAAGAAGGATTTGTTAGAAGTAGACTGAGGTTCTAATGAATTAATTATTACAATTAATTCACACCAAAATCAAGAAATATGTTAGAAGTAGACCGAGTGTCAAACGCATTAATAATTAAGTAATTACGTAGGGCTGAGGTTGGAGATGGTGGTGTGTCCGAAATCCTTTTCAGCACCCTCTAGCGTGCCTTGGAAGTTGATGGGCAGCACAACAGAGATGCAGATGACGCACACCACAGCCACGTACACAATCATGTGTCTCTGGAAACTCAGGTAGTGCACCGCATCACAGCCTGACTTGCGCAGAATGTGCTCGTCTCTGCCCATTGTTGCTTTATATAAGTCACTTTCACACAAGAGATTATTTATAGGATTATTTGCTTTATAGTTCACTTCATTATAGTACAACTTGGGTAAAATGTGTTCATCAATGCAAAACCAGAATTACTACATACATACACTTCTTTACTTCATATACCACTTCTTTCAAGCATTATATATTGTGTCATGGTTTTTACTTTTACTACTTTCTATCAGTCCATAATTGCATTAGAGAAGTTGCTCTTTCATGTAGGAGGATGCGAGAGCTTCCTTGTTTCATCTGGACCTTACAGTCATATTCTAGATTTTTTATTGATGTGCCAAATATGCAGAGAGGAGATAGTGTTATTATTGATACTTAAAATTTTATCTTTGTGTGCCAGCAATCTCTAGGTTTGATGTTCTTTAATCCTTAAATCATTTATTAACAGAATGTTTGTCAGGCATTTTTTGACTTGTCTGTGTGACAGCCAGCCCTCATACTGACTACCACTGTAAAATTTACCCATTATACATTGCTAGTTCGTATCAAACAGACATAGGTATAAATAACAGGCAGCTTTACTATGAGATAATTGAGCATGGACAATTCATACATTAATGCTAAATAAAATAAAAAACAACGAAAGGTAATTTATGTTCCATTATTTTACACAGGCTTCATTTTCAAAAGAATATCCCTGAAAATTCATCACAAATAACCTTGAAATGTATACAAATTCATCAAATTAGTTACTGAAATTAAGTACAATATGTAATACTATAAACAGAATTTCTCAAGTCATCACTAACACCCATCAAGAATTTTTCTTAAATATGTTAAAATAATCATATTTCCTGGAAGCATTGAAACAATTTACACAAAAACAAAATTCAGAAAAACTATAATCACAACACATTGAAAATAAGACTTGACAAAAATGTCCCCAGTTTCCATAAGCCATCACACGCAACTGACTTGATCTTGAAGAGCGCTGGTATCCATGATAAGACCCCCTGGTCAAGACGCAGGTTAAAATCATAAGAGGTGTAGGAGTCGCTCTCACTGCCTGAAGGTGGCTGGTTGCCTTCTGTATCTGCACCATAGAAAAGCTGTGTCCACCTGCATAACGTGAAAATATGATGAATGTTTTGTTTTTACAAGCACGATTGATCATCTTCATCATGGGAAATCATATAGAACTTTATTTAGAATGCAGACAAAAAATTATTTTAATCCAACTAACCAGTTTCTGATACTAACTGATTGAAAAAATTTTTCAAAAAATTACTACACCTCCTGGTATAACTCAACAAACTTCAAGTTAAGAGTTTTAGTTATAATTCAATTTTGAAAGTAAAACCAAATAAATTCAATAATTACATTTGAATTAAATTCAAAATAAATTATTGTTGGCTAGACCATCTATTAATAAAGAAACAGAATTACCTGCCAACTACACTGAACAGATATTCCATGCATGTGAAACAGCTTACAACAGTTGAGTTTATAAGAAACAGACAAATACCGTAGGCTTCACATATTTACTTAAAAATTGCCAACAACATGAAAAGGTAATCAAGTAGCAAAGAAGTTAGGTCATAACAAAACTGGTTAAGAAAAAAAGCTGTGGCCACAGAAAAGTAATGATCATCAAAACAGAATAGTTCAGTGGTAACCCAACAAAGAATATTAGGCAAACATGTACCTATATATGTTAGTATAAGATGACAGAATTTTCTCATTAATACGAGTACAATTTATGACCAGACCAGAGAATGCATAAAGTATTTTCAAAGAGTCAAACAATTCCTTACATGACATTTGTAGATCAAAAGGCAGGTTAATGAAGCAATAATAATATATTAACGACTTCCTGAATGTAACAAATTTCATTTTCAAGTTAAGAGAAGCATTGAATATTGAAATTGTGTTGGACATAAGTACATAATACAAGTAAATAGGGTATAACACAAAAATTTTAAGCTAGAAAGTTGCTATGTGATCAATCTCAAAGTTTAGACAAATCTGGTAGTTTGGAAATAGATAACTAATGGGAGTCCAATCCAAAATGATGAAGGTTTCAGCAATCTTTGGTTGGTTGGTTAGTGCTGTGCACCTCTGCATGATGACGACTATGGTGGGTTTCTCCAGCACGGTGCAAGCGACAGTCTTGTGAGTTTGTCTCAGGTGGTTCCCCTGTACTCCTGACTGTTAGTGGCAGCCTGGCAGGTGAGAGTCTTGTGGTTGCTAGTACAATTACTCCAAAGGATGAAGAAGTATAAAACCTTTAAAGTAAATTTTATAGACTACACCGGGCTCTTGGAGAACTTTTGCTTTTTGGCAGGGGCCATTATTGTCAAGGGTGTTGTTACCGGGGGTTGTAAATACTATTTTTATCGCACAACCTACCTGCAGCCGAGATCTTTATTCCTGTTTTACTCATTTTGCATAACATATTGAGAGGGCATTAATTTTACTTTGTGTTAGTTATTATTGTATCATTTTCTTATTCTTTTACAGTAATACAGAATACAGCCAGCAAGTGCGAGTAATAGAGCAGAGCATTGCAAACATGTGCCCCATAGAATAGGCATCATCACCTGTCCATGTTCCTCATAATTCTCAATTTTTTAACTGCTTATCTCTTCACAATCCTAGAAGTCTCTCATAAACTCTGTTGATCCCTTGTAATAAACTATGTAACTTTTGTTTTCAATAAAACTCAGAAAAGACAAACTTTAATTCCCCATTGAATCAAGAATTGCAATAAGCTAGTACAAGCTGATGACCAGTTCATCACACCTGTGTAACAATAGGAACACTGCTACAGTGTCACCAAGCTTGTTGAATTTATAGACTACACGGGGCTCCTGCTTAGATGAAAGCTCCCGCATAATGGAGCTGAGGTTCTCCAAGAGCCCAGTGTAGTTTACAAATTATGTTTCAAAGATTTTAGATTTCTTCATCATTTGGACTACATTAGAGTATTGAAACAACATAGAGACTGTCTCAACAACATTGAGACTGTTTCACCTACCTGTCTGGAGTACAGGGGAACAGCTTGAGACACAACACGAGACCATCACTTGCACTGTGCTGGAGAAACCATCAGAATTGTCATCATGCCGAGGCACACAACATTAACCAACTAACAATTGCTGTAATCCTTGTCTCTTGGCATTGGACCCCAGCTATCTATTTCCAAACTACTGGATTTGTCTTAACTTTGTGATTATTCACAGAGAGACTTTCTGGTTAGAAATGTTTATGTTGTATCCTATTTATGTGTATTATGTACTTACGGCCAACAAAATTTCATTATTCAATGCTTATATTAACCTGAAAATAAATGTTCTAACATTCAAATGTTGTTAATAGTTTTTTATTGCCTCTCAAACCTGACTTTTGATCTTTCAACGTCATCTGAAAACTTAGGTATATATGTGCGAGTGTTTGTGTAGATGCTGCAGAAATAATATATGTTTAAAAATTACTTTTTAAAGACAACACTTCCAAAGAATCCAGTGTCTCCAGTCTTACAGATGTACAATGAATTTCTCATTAAATTTTCATATATTGAAAAAATTAAATTTTCAATTTTTTAATATATAGTAAATTTTTTTAATATAACACTTTCTTCAAAATTATTTATTCTATTAATTGATTCATGTACTCAATTAGACAGATCAATTAGACAGGTAAAAGTGTGTCAAATATCAGTTATAAGATTTGTAGCTGACAAAATTATTTTATCAATTTTTTTAATATTGAAAAAAATTTTTTTTTTAATTTTTAAAATCATTTATTTTTACATTTGATTCATGCATTGTCTCCAACTTTACACAAGTGTGCAAAATTTCAGATCGATAGGATAAGTAGAAGTGTATTAAATTTTGATTACAAGATTTGTAGCAGACAGACAAACAAACAGACAAGAAGTGAAGTTAGAGAGAAGTGTTGTAAAAAATCAAGACAAAGCTGTAGAAATTCACTAAAAATCAAGTCAATTAAAGTAAAAATAATCACAGCATCTATATCGTTCAAAATTAGGTAAATTGATGGATAATATATACAACATGATGAGGAATCCACTTGATCACACTGGATGTTTCAAAGAGAATAATTTCTGAATAATAATGGATCAAATAAACACCATTCACACTGAAAAAAATTGGGAGATAGTGACTCAAAGTGTAACTTGTGCAGAAATAAGATTTGTATATACATACCGTATTATTTATGTATCAATTAGGACTAGAGAATATGATGAAGAAAAGCACAATAATTAGTGGCTCAGCCAAATAAAAATATTTGCTTCATAGAAAGTTTAGTAGCATATTGAAAACAGGAAAAAGTGTTGGTTATTCTGCAGCTTTGTTGGCAAGAAGTAATTAAAATACATGGCACACAAAATTATGGACTGAATGTTTCTTTCACATGAACACACTAACCAAATTGACATGTAAAGAAAGGACACAAAAACAAATGAAGTAGAGGAAAAAAGGTTATTGCAGCCATATAATAGAATAACAAATAAAAAAAGGAATAACAAGTAATTGATATAAATAACAAGATTAAGATATTATCTAGCAAATGGTTCAAGAAAAAGTAACCAACTAGTTGATCCCATACCAAAAATGGAAAATGATAGCCTAATATTTTCACATGCTTATTTCTGATCATTGAGTGGTGTACAGTATATTAATATTAAATTAATTGGATCACTCAGTTTTTTCATTATTATTTTAAGATATTAATGGCACATAAAAAACTGTTTTTGCTTAATAGGCAGAACTAAATAAAAGCAAAAGGAAGTAAAATTTTAATTTGATATACATTTTCTCTATTTAATCCTTTACAGGACAAGTTACAGTGAAAGGTAACTTGAATCGCTACTCAAAAAAAGGTAATATGTAGGCCCTGGTTTAAGCTTGAGGTTATACAGTAGTACCACAACTGTGACAGTTGTCAATCATCTGGTTATTTTTTCATGAATAATTATGGTCGCTACAATAATATAATAGTCAAACACAAAAATCTATGCCCTTTCTGCAATTGTTTCAATCATGGAAGAAATGACATTGCTCTGAGTATTATTAGCACCTAGTACCGTACTCTGAACTGTAACCACAGGGCCATATAATCCAAAGCTATTATCATTTGATCCTCACAAATGTTTTAACTTTCATCATTACATATCATGAAAGTCTTTAGTCAGGAAGCAGAAACATCCAGACCCCAAGTATTAAAGTGAATGTAGTTCAAGTAAAGTGGCAAATTAAAGTCAGTTCCTAATGACCATTCCATCCCATTTAGAACAGTTGGCATTTAGAAGGGAAACTAATTGAGAATATTTAATGACATCTTTTGCATACAGAAAATAATTGAATCTTGAAGAAATTTGAGAAACGAGGAAAAGCCCACATAAATTCTTATCTTTTGTCAGTATGAGTTTAAGAAAGTTTTCCATAGGCAAGCAAAACTGTAAAAAATTTTGACCTACACATTGTATTCACTGTAACCTAGTAGTGGCCCCTTCTTTCTGAAAAATAAAAAAGTAAAAAAAAAAAAAGTAAATAAAATATGAGAAATTAAATACACATCTCACTTAAATAAAAAAGAAAATCTGTATTTAGGGAATTGCAGATGATAAATGCAGACACATTATAATTCAAATGTTAATAAATTGATGCAAAAAAACATGCCTACGGAAGAAATACCTATAGTAAATTTGGAAGGTTATGGAAAATTTTTCATGGAATATTTTTTGTACAGAAAAATTTATAATCTAAATAATTAATCTTAAATGAGCATCACATAATCTTTTTGCAGGGAGAAGCATAAATGTTAAATTTACTGCTAGAAGAACTTTTTGAATGTACTACATTAGGGTGAATGACATTGTTTTGATTTTATTTCAGAAACATTTTGCAACCCTAATCACTTGGTATCTGCATTTAGCCTCCACATGTCACAAAAAACATTCAAATAATAACAAGTAGAATATGCCATCAAACTTTGTTATAGTCCTAGAAATATTATGTTGATTATGGTAGTAAATGCACTACCCTCAACTGGGGTGAATTCGGCCACCGGGGTGACTTTGGCCAATGTTTATGATTTTGTTTTGGGGCCATCTGTTTCTGTTGTAGGTGTGTTGTGTGATTGGAACAAAATGGTATCCAATGTAGTTTTTTCTTACCTATCGCTTGGAAACTGTTTTGTTTCAATAATTTTATATCCTGCTTGACCAACACAATCTGAATGCCACAGTACCATAAAGGAAAAAAAAAGCTGAGTGCAAACTTCAATATTTTGAGATATGAAAAGAATTTTGGAATCAGATTTGTTTCACTTATTTTGGTATCTTGTATAATGATTATTTCAATGGCTATACATTTTTTACCAAATGTAATATATATGCTAGAAAAATTAGCTTGCCAAAGTCACCCCATAGTATATGGGCTAAATGGGGTGACTTCGGCCAGCCAATAAATGTTTAGAATAATAGATTTTTCTTCTTTTTTCAGACAATATGCACAGCTATAAATGTATATTAGATTCTGTGCCATATAGGATATATTATGTGGAGTTGTTTAAGAAAGCATTGCAATTGATAAAAGATGGTGTTAGGCTGTTAGCTTAAGAGAAGCTGCTAATATTAGCGAAGTCCCTCGTTCATTTTTGAGCGACCGATGTGCTGGCTGTAATGCAAAAAAATTTAGGACAGTCTACTCTTTCACCTAGGGAGGAGTCAGATTTAGTATCCTACATTATTCTGCTTTCAGACTGGGGCTTCCCATTAGATGGTATGGATCTGCCTTTTATGGTTAAAAATTACCTTGACAAACAGCACTTTACGTAAGTTCAAGGGTTGCACCTCTATCAAGCATCATCAGTTTTTTGAAGAATGCTCAAGATCCCATGGGGACTAGTTAGTTAGTTAGTTTAGTGGCCACATGTTTACTAGCGCTTCAGCTATTTAGCTATCTTGCACCGAAAGTCATGTTGAACATCACCAAAGAGGTGGAAGGTCTCAATTATCAAAAGTTTCTCAAATCAAAAATTGTTCATCACCCACAAGGGGTGGAAGGTCTCACATGTCCAGCCTGCTGAAGCTGGCTCAAAAGAAGCAGCGTTAGCATCTCAAAGAGACGAAGTGACAAGGAAGGACAGGTGAAAAGTAACAAACGAAGACACTCGAACAAGAGGTCGCTTACACGGGATGTTGGCCACCCGCACGAGAGAGACAGAGAAGGGAAATATAAGGAATCCTACCTTTATAATAACTTAACCCCACAACTGAGACCTGTAGTCAGACACCGCGAGCTCAGCGGTGGGGCGCTCAGGAACAATCCCCCTAGGAGCGCAAAATCCCATAGGACTTCTGACGCGCACAGACGCACGTCAGAAGTCCCCCCTGAGGAGCCCATGGGGACTAGATTTTTTCAAACTTTCACATCCAGCTACCATTGAAATTGACAGAAAGCAGCTTTAATGAAGCATATGATTTGCAAATGTGAGTTTTATCTTTGAGTTACAATTTTTATAATACACAGTGGCATTGATTATCATTTTTTTAAAAACCCTACATGGCCGATGTCACCCCGCTAATGGTTGAATTTGGCCATGAAATAATTTTACTACGTTTTTACTGTGTTTAGCACATGTGGCCGGAGTCACCCCATCGCGGGGTGACATCAGCCAACCAGCTAATTAAAAAAATAAAATTATTTTTTGATAAGAGTGACATCATTTAGACATGACATATTTAAAGAAGAACCTTCCAGTAATATATTTACAAATTTACAATAACCAGTAACGCTTCATTCCTATTTTGTAGGAATTTGATCAGCAGAAACTAGTGTAATTTGGCCGAAGTCACCCCCAGTTGACAGTTCCTAAATGTAAAAAAAACTGAAATTATTTACTTAAAAATTATCAAGTCAGCGCCAGGTTCTAGTTGTGCAAGGTAGACCGTTCTTTGTTCGATTAGAACATGTGAGATCATGTATATATTTTATGCATTGATTGAATCACTGGGAAGTTTAAACTTGAATAGTCCACATGAATGGGATAGGTGCCAGAATGAGGAAAAGAACTACTCTACCAAACAGTATGATTGCTCAGCCTAGTAATATATAATTACATATTTACCAAGAAGGAGAATAGAATACATAGAATACAAAGCAGTTCAATGATTCCAGAAAAACATTAATTAATTTAGAGGTGCTTTGCCAAATATCTCAGCTGTCATTACCTTAAGCAATATTGAGACAAGATTACATGGTGAAATGCCTTCAATTTGCTGCTCAGGAAATGACAAATAATTTGTAAGCAAGTGCTGAAAATAATATACATGCATCGGGCAGAACCAAAAAAAAACACACTAAACACTCAAGGTCCTAATGAATTTTACTGCTTGTAAAAAGGGTAGTATATACACTAAGAAGCAGACATGGATACCAAATCAAGTCATACCTGTTATCATACTTCTGGACAATTGCCAATCGGCCATAGTTCCAAGCTTTTTTCCTCAGTATAGTGAACAGAGAAAGCAGGCACTGTAAACAAAATTAACATGACATTAGAAAAAATATAACTCAGTACTCACTGCAGTGAGTGAAAGGGAGTGCATTTTCTCATCTGTCTCTCTGTGAAGTCACAGACAGACAGATGGATGGACAGACATGACGAGCACAATAGCACCTTTCTTTCCATAAATGAGAAAATGCACTAAAAATGGAAAACAACTGATGCTAAATTTCAGAGAAACATTTTACAATGTAGTGGTAAATTTATCATATAAAAATAAATCTTGATTGCTTGGTAACAATCTTACTTATATTTCATTTTTATGTCATTTACATTTCAAATTTAATATCATTAAAAAAATAAATAACGCTTTCACAGGCAAATGCTTATATCCATTAACTTTAAATCTTCAGTTAAAATTGCCATTAATATCCACTGCTTTGTGTGTGAAGATTATGCCAATCCCAATTCATCTCCAAATGGCATGCTGAATAATCAACAGCACCTCCTCTACCCCACCAGCACACATGAAAATTTATTGATCACTTAAAAATAAATAACAGACCAAACACTTGATGGTCTACACAACTTTTTAAATTGTACATGAAGAAACATTTTTTTGCAATTTTAGTTCATTCACTATTTTGAACATTGAACTAAGATACCATAGTTTTCATTTACATGCAAAAATTAAATTTCAGAAAACATAAAATATTTCAACTATGTGACTTCATAACGATCAAAAAACATTTCAGCAGTAAACATAACTTGAATTTAGTCACTGTTGACAGTAAAAAAAAAGTTTTTTTGAACTTTCAAGTCTACCTGCAAAATGGGTAACTCTAGAGTAATCCTTAAAGCTTGAAATTAATCGACGTTGTAAACACAAATTTAAAGTAGAAGTTGAACTTTGAACTGGAATAAATTGCAGAAACCACATAAATCACATGAAGTTTACTTTGATGATTAATTTACACAAAAGTAATTACAGTGTAGCTGCTATTATTGTGTACAATTATTTATTCATCACAAAATCAACTGCCTAAGGCTTGAAGAGAATTATTATATACTGGAGGGTAAACTACTTAGTATTATCAGTACAGTGACCTGTTTTTCACTCGGGTGTTGCAGGATTTATAACACATGATATGAACAACAAAAAAAAAGTTATACTATTTTACAAAAAAAAAGGTTAAAATTATGCAGGTCCTCTAGAACCAGGATATACTGCTCAGTACATAATGAGATTGAGAAATAAAGGAAAAATATTGGGAACATGGGGTTAAATACATCAATTCAATTAAGAACATTAAAACAACCAAGAACAGTACTTACAATCCACCCAATAAAATTGATGAGCAAGTTCTCAGGAATTCCTTCATAGCCACCATAGATAATGTGAGTTTTGTTCTTGACAACATATTGGTTGCATTTCACGGGATCCTCCGTGAATACTGATGTACTTGACTCCGTTGATTCTAACGGAGTAGCTGGCGGCCACATTGTGGGGAATAGTGTCACTGGTAACCCAGTGGGAAATAATTCATGAGATGAATCATCCATAACTAGTAGTTCTTAGGCAGAAACAAGAGCAGATAAATTAATATTCTAGTATCTAAAATTGTATTCCCAAAAATGAAAGTTGCCCGAGTCATCAAGGCATACTTCTGAAATTAATCATCTCTGCACATGCACAAGTATTTAATTTTTAAATCTTAGAAGCAAATAAAAAATAAATGCACAGTTTATTCAAAACAAAATAGCAACTGAAAATATGCTTATAAATTTGTCTATTCTCTAAAACAAATGACTTCGCCAACCAAATTAATTTATATTAATTTTGAATTTGAGCACATTCTTCAGTAGCTAACAATATTCTTCGACTATGAAAAAGCATTGATGATTATTTATCTAATGTTTTAATTTGGAGATGAACTTGGTAGGGAAGAGTACGTTAATGAAAATTTCCTTCTTGGAATTGAGACAAGGTAAGAGAAGCATATTCAGGCTAGATAGTGGATATCTGTCAAAAAGAAGAAGCAATGCACCAAAAAGTTTATATTGCACCCAATGAGAATGGAGTGATAGGCCATAGATATGTTTGATGATGTCTCTACAAAGTTACAACTATGAAAAGCCTTCCAGTCAAGGAAAATAAAAAATAAAAAATTGCACAATCAAGACACAAACACAAACAAAAAATATAACTCAGTACTCAATGCCTTAAGCGACAGAGAGCGCATTTTTTCGTCGACAAAAACATTGAAGAGGGCCGCAGAACATTAGCTATATTATACAGTAGAATCATTCATTTACAATTGTACCTTAATATATGTCATTTTTTATTTCATTATCTTTTGAGTGTCATGTGCATCTTATCAATCTTTTATCTTGTTCCCCTAGGTGTAATATTTAAGCAGAGTAAAAGTTAATGAGACGAAATTCTTGTAAGTCCATATTATGTGCACTTTTGATTAGTCTGCACCCCTGATTGCTGAATTGGAAATTCACTGGTTGCACCTGATTATTTTCTGACCTTCAAAAGCCTGCTTAAGACGCATTATTGCATGATTTGATCTACACCTCTGCTTGCTAATCCCATCCTGATGCTCTATTTTGGTGAGTTCAGTGCATTTCATCTCATGAAAATATCGCCATGCTACAATTTGTCATTACTGAGTTCTTAACAAATGTTTTCCAGTCATTCATGCCTGTTTATAAAGAATGAAGGATGGTTTTCACTGGTTCTCAAGTTAATCCTGTCCTTTTATTACACAATTTTCATTTTGCTTACTTGAACCATGTTGTGTCGACTCTTGAATAACTTTACTTCTGCAACTAATGCATTCATGACTTTGTGTGTGACAAAACAGTTTTAAACATCCTCCTGATGTCAATATTTCTAGAAGGCTAGTTCTTATGAATGCATTTATTTGACGTTAAGGAGCGGTTGGTGTGGAGCTACAGTCTTCTTGATGAGAGCCCAAGACCACTCGACCAACTCCTTGCCACCAGAAAGAAGATAAAGACATTTCATAGGTCAAGTAAAATTTTGTCTTAGATACCGTAAAATGGGGTTACTTTGACTCCCAGGGTAACTTTGACCACTATTAGTTTTTTTAACAAAAACCCCCAAAACTCAAAAACTATTTAACATAGAAAAATTTTGTCAATAGCCATTAAAGGCCTAATACTGAGGCTACGTGACACAATAGAAAGATTTAAAAAGTTTGCATATCTAATAGGTTAAAAAATTAAAAATGTAACCCACAACAATAAGCTATTATTTAAAACCTGTTGGAGTACCCCCTCAAATTCCTTTATTTTTTAGTGAAATAACTCCAGGTTTTGATGCATTGTAGTAGAACTCTTCTAGTTACATATGCAAATGACAAATTTTAGGAAAGTGTCATAGTTTGCAAATGGGGGGCGCCGCCCCCCAATGGGGGAACTTTGACCACCTAATGGCAGCCATGACGGGATAACATTGACCGGCTTGAAAATTAAGTTAAAATTACCATAGGTACCTATATAACATATTTTATGTTTGATACACCTATTAATGTTTTTTCTTTATTTTTCAGAATCTACAGAGTCTTATATTTGGTAATTTTAACATAATTTCCAAACCGGTCAATGTTACCCTGTCACGGCTGCCATTAGGTGGTCACATTTCACCCATTGGGGGGCGGCGCCCCCAATTTGCAAACTATCACACTTTCCTAAAATTTGTCATTTGCATATGTAACTAGAAGAGTTCTACTACAATGCACCAAAACCTAGAGTTATTTGGAGTTATTTTACCAAAAAATAAAATTGATTTTACCACCCAGTCAAAGAAACCACAAGAGCTGGGGTAACAAAGACCATCACTTTTTTTGAAATTGCAGCAAAACTATGAGAGGCAGGAGCCAGCAATTTATGGTGAGTAAAGCTGGAGTAGGTATAGACCTGTATTTTGCAAGTTTAAATTTAAGTTTAACTTATCTAGTAAAAAAATGGTATCATTTTGAAAAAAAATGTGGTCAAAGTTACCCCATTTTACGGTAGGTACTGGCTTGAAATTGAGGAGCCTTTTGCTGCTCCTAGATACTTTGGGCCCAGACTGATGTGACTTAGTCCAATTTTCTAGATGCCTCTAGTAGTACATTTACTGACTAGGATGATAGGAGTATATTTAATGACTTGTGCGACTTAGTAGGACCAGTTGTCTGTCATAAAATCAAGTTCCTGGCCTCCCTACCAGGCTACCTGCCTTCGCCTTCCCCCCTCTTCTGACTTCTGATGCCTCCCCACCGGCCACCATCGGATCCTCCTTCCACAGTCAGAGTCTGTCAGACCAGGTTTCATAAAGTGGCAAGAGTCGTTGGAATTTCAACGACTTTTTGTAAAGTTAACGACCATTTTTTGGCCATTACAACGACTCTAAACCTGGATTAATAGTAAATTTATATTTTTCAACGACAATGAATAATTTAATACACGCTATTTTTAAAAAATAATACACTGACTGCTATCACTCATGCATTTTTTTGGTTTCAGATGCCAGTCACGCCACTGCTGGAAACAGAAATATACAAGGCAGCATCTGCCGATTATCAGTCACAAGTTTACAAAATTTTGGTNTATAAGAGACAGTAGTAACTGTTGCTGATAAGTTGATAACTGGTCAGTCTGGACCAGGACTGGACCCTAAACTAAAGTTAACTAAACTTCTTGACTAAAGAAAGCCCTTTTAATAGCCAAAGAAGTTTGTTGTGGCTTGTTATACATTGCACAAGCTTCATTTGCCTATTCTGTGCTTCTTTTTAATTTCAAGTATTGCCGATTACTCTAACATATTGGAATGTGCTGCATTTATGTCTCTTATTTTATTGTCAGGTGCAGCTGACAACGCTGAAAATGAATAAATTCAATGCAATCTGCATAGGATAAAGAGTTGAAAATGAAACAAAATTAATATTTTAGTTTTTGTATTTAAAAATGAGTTCGCCATTCCGAGAAAGCTGTGCCCTCTGCATTTTAGGGATAGCTTGCGTTTGATTACGCGCAATATTTACGTATCACTATTAGAAGCGGTCAGACGTGTTCATTCAGGAGTAAAGAAGGCACGGTACCTGGTGTGAAGAAATTAAACCATTAATGCATTATACGTGTGGTTTGTTGCATATTAACAATCCAATGTACAAAAACTTGAGGTTATCTACCAATCTTCTTATTAACGATGATTTTTTCGTTGTTAAGTGACCTGTGACCAAACTAGCTACTAAGAAACCTACCGACCAACGACTGGAAAACCCACCAACCAACGACTGGAAAACCTACCGACCAACGAGTGGCATGTGGATTTTCAACGACCAGATGACCCCTGAGATACTATTACAACGACTCTTATGCCACACTATGAAACCTGGCTGTCAGACAGTCCCACACGAGTGAGTGTGACATTGGTGCAAGAACCAAGAAACAATAACAACCCCTAAATAAACTTGAGGCTTGAGCAAGTCAGCAAGGGCAACAAAAAATGTTTTCCCTTGCTAAATTCATACCTTGTGAAATAATATGATGTAGGCTTAAGAGCCATTATACTTCAGAAAAAAATAGGACTTTTCCTGACCTGCTTGCCAGTTGCCACTAATCCACTATCAGAGTATCAGTAGGTATTCAGATTTCAGAATCATACTGTCAGTCATTCTTATTTTTCAATAAAGAAAATGGACAAAGGCCATAACTTTTTTTTCATAAGATTAAGAGTGATTCAAGACCAGATGAATTTCAGTGGATTCAATGGCGTTTTTTCTGATTTTCATACGTATCTGCCAATTTTTCACTTAGGTTTAGGAGTAGAATGTAGTCAGTGTAGTGTTACAGTGTAGACTGTAGAGACAGACCGACAGTATCACTGGGGGACAGTGACACTACCCACCTTAACCTAGGTAAAAATTAATGAAAAGCGCGCCGAGGAGTGAATATTCAAACACATTTAAATTACCAATACATTAATAAATTAACCAACAAATTAGTAGGTAAAGTAACATAGTAACTCCGTTAATCAAAGTAAATAAGTTGCCCTTCGTGTTGCATAATTAAATGTTCGTACACAAAACAGCTGTTCAAAATTTCTGAGTAGACTTTCCTATCGCGCGAGTCACGTTAAACTGTACGTCACATGGACGAAAAGACCAACAACACCAACTCCCTCTTGCGGTCGATTTTCTTTGAAAACGCTTATTAGCTGGTATCAGCTGTACAGTAACGTCAACGCTACTGAAGTCGCCGCTACGCTAGTACAGGGAAAAGGAAATGTTTATTAAAACAGACAAAATACGAACATTACGTTATCATAGGTTATCATTGTTCAAAAAAGGTGACAAATGTAGCCCCGGTAACTATCGCCCTGTCAGTCTGACAAGTGTTGTTTGTAAGGTGATGGAATCTGTTGTGAGGGATAGGATTCTCGATCACTTCACTGTTCACCATCTCATATCAGATTGTCAACATGGTTTTATTGTCGGTAGATCCTGCACCACTAACTTATTGTCTACGTTGAACGATTGGACTCGTCTGCTGGACGAAAGGAAGCCAGTGGATGCATTGTACCTCGATTTTGCCAATTAATTTGACAGCGTCGAGGGGACTTCGCCCACATTTACGCAGAGCTGGGCAGCGCTACTTTGA